ACAAGTACCTATATACCAAAGGACCGGCTCTGCTCGACTTTTACATTTAATTTCGCGCGCCCCGGCTCCTTCAGTTTCATTGCAACGCGCCCGAGGTGTCGACTTGTAAGTACAGGACCTTTTTTTTTTTTTTTTTTTTTTTTTTCGTTCGTACGTAAGTACAACACGAGCAAAAGTACTAAGAGCGTACAGGGTCATTAGTCTCCCTTTGAATGTAATTCTCAATGAGTAATTGGACTGTGCCATTTTTCTAAACGAGAACGCTTCCGTTGCAGGGCATCATATAGAGCCATTACTGGAAAATTTACGAGTCTAAAGATGCGGAGCAGCTACGCAGTCGAGCGACCAAAGAGCTATTTCGAGTAAAAAAAAAAAAAAAAAAAACAACACCCAGTGTCCTGGTTTCCATTGGAAAATCACCAGCAGCAGTGCGGATGCGAGCGAACTTTGGCCCCCGGCCGCGTGTCCTCCCGCAGTTAAGTCGCTCCAGTTGGACATCCACGCGCCGTGGGTTATACATCTATACATGTACTCACGAGTCGTCGGCTGAAACCCTTTCGAGCACGTATATATAACAGAGGCGCCCGCCTGGCTGCCTGTCTCGGAGGCGCCGCGGTGCCGAGCTTGCGCAAGCTCCGCAGAAAATCACCCGGCTTCCTCGTTTTCCGCGCTTCTTCTCGCAGCAGCCGGCGATCCCGAGCTCTCCTCTTTCTCCTCGCGTATATTGCACATTTCTTTGCTCTTCAATTATCAACGAGCGGAATATCACTTTTGGATCGCCAAAATTATACTGTATACGCGGGAGAAGAGCAGCCACTTTTAACTCCCGTGGAGGCCGGGGTGAATATTTAATCCGAGGAAACACTATTTCGCGCAAGGAGCGCTACACCTCCGGTGCATGTATATTTATTTTTTCCCTCCGACGGGAGAGCTTTGCGGGCGGCGCCCACGTTTGCCGGTCTCTTTATTCATCGAGAAAGATTTAAGTGTTTAATAACCGGGAGAACGGCCCCCTCGGCGTATTTCTCCGTCTCACCTTCCTCCCTCTCTCTCATTTTCTCCCAGATATACACACCTGCTCGCTTCTTTCTTTGTTTTTTTCATTTTTGCTCTTTCTCCTTGCGACTATCGTATCCCGTGTATGTATATATAGATATATATGTACATCCGCGTGCAGAATGCGCCGAGGAGAGGCACTTTGCATTTTTGTGATTTCCCCCCCCCCCTGCAGGTATAAGACGCGGCGGTGGAAAATCATGACTACTTTATGAATTTTTCTCTTCTTTCATGAATACTCGCGTCCTTCGTCTTATAAATGGCCTTATTTACTTTATTAATACCCAACGGGCCGGGTATATATATATATAATAACTCTCTCTCCCCGTGCACGAGTTTTCTTTCATCACGTCGCTATTCAGCTCCTCGAACCCACTAGGTATTATACATGTGTATATATAATAACAAGAGCAAATTGTTGTTCAACCTATATGCCTTCTTCAAAGCGTCTAGTATATTTTATCGTATAGGTGGTAATGACCCTTTTGCACTTTTTCCCATTGTCAGAAAAAACAAGTACATTTAATTTAGAAAAAAAAAGGTTTTAAAACTAACCCCATGTATCAGTTAATATACGAAGCCTGCTACGAACAGGCTACTCGAGGTGGGTGTATTAACACGCTCGCGCGGGCAAAGAGTGACTTTTTGCCGAGCACCCGTACCCATTATACACACACACACACACGCGTCTAGATCAGATGGTGGCAAGAAAGCTCCAGCGAAAGCTGCTCCCGGCAAAAAGCAGCCCCTTTTGGTTTCAGCGGGGTGTACATGCCCAAGGGGTATAGCACTGCTCGCAAACAACCAGCCTCGGCACGCGGTGTGGTGACAAATGACACGACGGCACGGAGGAAAAAAAAAAAAAAAAAAAAAGACTCGGATCCGCCTTGGGGGTGCCATCCACGAAGCTCCCCGCGATGGGTGTATGCTGTTTTTGTCGCGACGACACGGACCTCTCCTACGCCTGCGGACAATCTGTGTTTCTATTTCAGGGCAAAGGCAGGTGCGCCGCGAAAACGTACGTGTTTACGCGCAGGAATTCACAACTCGGGGGTGTAATGAGGTTCGTTAGGGGCGCAGATGGCACTGTTTTCTATTCAATTGTTATACTCTGACCTCGTTGTTGGACAAAAAAAAAAATAAAATAAAGTGTTATTGAATTGACAAATATCCTTTGTAATTAAAAAGCAGAGATTTTCCTCTTAGCGCGGTGTTGCGATGTATCAAATTGTGCCTATCAGCTAATAGGACAACGAGGGAGCCTCGGGGGTGCAATAATAGATCGAGTAGTCCCACTCGTGTTGCTGTCGTTAATCATTAACCGTACAGGCTGGCTATCAAAAGGCATCACGGGTCGAGCCCGTATTGGACGTCGCAGTGAATTTTGTGGCTCTCCTCGATTCGAGAGCACCCAAAAACGATACACCCGCGGCGTGACTCGGGCTTTTTTTTTCTCTTCTTCCCTCCACTTTGCGCGATTACATTACATCCGCGTGTGTAATCTATGTGTGGGTACACATTCATCCATCCATTCACCCTCGGGAGGAGAACAGAGAATGTATAAAAGACAGGGCGAGCTTTTCCTTGCCCGCGAACGGGACATTTATAGGAATCGAAAAGAAAAAAAAGGGAGGGAGGGAGACTGCACCGGTCGCGAGTCATCAATCTTTGGCCGATCTCTCGCGTGATATACGCCCTCCTCCTTCTTCGATCGGTAATTGATGCGCATTTCTCGGTTCTCGCTCGGACGCGCGGGTTTCCTTTCTTTCGTATATTATATTGTAGATGTATAGCGTATATATTATATACGTACACTCGAGGCTTTCTACGAAATTACCGTGGCTGTACTCGATAAGTACATGTATATGAGGGACGACAAGTGGAAAATAAGTTATGTGCACGACGACCTTGCTCCCATCCCCCTCTCGCGCTCCTTTACAGTCTCTTCTTTCTCCGTGTACCGTCGGCTCGAGTGATTTTTTTTTACTTATACGCAGCTCGAGGGCATACTTTACGGTAATATTTTCTCGCGTGGTGCGTGTATTGTTTCTCGAATCTTGAAAATTATGAAATCACTTTATGTATACTCCTGGAAATGTAGTATTAATGAATTTTCCAAAGCGAGGAGAAATCGCGAGTTGCATGTGTATTGTATAAATTACGCGAGCCTGTTATGCTTTTCTCGAGTGGTGCAACAATAAAAGAACACGGTGTATGTAGGTTGCGTGATTCTTCCTGCATGAAAAACACTTGTCTTTGTAGAAAAAGCAATTCTGTGATGCATTATTTTTTACAATTTTCCGGCGTCTTACAAAAGTGTCAATGCTGGGGGAAAGGATTGCTGTACAAAAGCTTCTTTTTTTTCGTTGTACAAAAGTTATGTAGTAAATGTACTCTTTTTTAGTATAAGGACCCTGATGCTCTACTTATTTTCGAATCAAAATCCACAAATGGTTTCTTTGAAGAAAATCTGCAGATCGGAGTTGTTATGCATAATACAGGCTTATGGGAATGCGGTGCATACCATTTGCACTATTATGGAAAATAGCACGGCATAGAGAAGAGTCTTTCAACTGTATTCTTACATTTTTTTTCCCCTTCCCGTTCTATCTGATTCTTCATCCAAAGCAAGGCAGCCTTCAACGACTCGTGTGCATTGACCTCCGAGAGGTAAGTGTAATCGCACGCGAACTGCAGAGCAATACGTATGTACATTATACAAGATGTACCGAAACCGATAAAATATGTATGTTATACCTGCAAAACTATTGTGGAAGGAAAAAAAAAGAAGAGAATAAAGGAAAGGAATGGAGCAGAAAGTTTATTTGATCCACACGGCAGTATACTTTTTTCGTATATCTATATGTACATGGGTCATTATACAAAAAATCGAAATTTTTCACGACTCGATCAATTTTATTGTCATTTACAGAAATTTGGCTTTCAAAACTATTTTTTTAAATAACTAAGAGTAGTTTCGTGCATTAAAGCTGTAACAGAATTTTAATCATAAAAAGATATTGCTTCTGAATTAAACATACATCAAAGTGGCTAAATTGGCGTTGCGAGCTTGGGTCTTACTCTGGGATTTTCACTTCAAATTTTTTTTATAACGTTTTCATGATTTTGTCTCCATTGGATCTTGAAATGATTCGTGTCAATTTTTATACCTTTTTAACCCAAAAAAAAAAATTTTTTTTTGATAAGATTTTTATGCTAATAAGACCAATACATTCGCGAAAAATACTCGAGCAAATATATATATGTATTTTAATCATATACAAATCGAAAGTTTTACTTTCCAAGGAGTTTCATCAGTGTATTTCAGAAATTTATTTCCAGTACCGTTGGCCAATGCTATACATCGGCTCACGAATCCATAAATGTACTCCCCCTCCCTAAAAAAAAACTCAAAACCCGTAACGCTTTCTAATATTCGCCGAATGTTGAGTTATTGACTCGGATGATGGGTAAAAATGTAGCTGAGTATCTTTTATGTATACATGATACGAATGCAAGGGCTAAGTTTAATTTGTTTTAATTTGGCGTATCCCGATTTCGATTTAACGACAATTTTTACTCAGAGCCCGTAACGTAATTACTATTAAAAAACTCTCTTTTCTAACGATAATAACGATGACTTGTTTAAATAACGAGCACTAGACAAAAAAATAATTAAAAAAAATGCAATTATTTCGGCTTTTGACATAGTTACTCCCGTTTTCGTAAAATGCCCCATGTAGATACTTTAACTGCAGAACACATACATAGCATGAGAACACGCAACAGTATATAGAGAGCATGCATGGGGTTCTTTGCTCGCTTCGCCCCCCCCCCCCCACTCTCTGGCTCCGCGGCGCGCAAACGCCGCCGCTCTCGCGGTGAGAGCTCCTGGCTTCTCCTCCTCTGTGTTGTACGGATGGAGGCCCAGAGCGAGCCTATCTCCCGCCTCCCGCAGTCCGAGATCGGCGAGCGAGTAATACAACTCGCATACCAGCAGTCAGTGACGCATCGCGGTCGCGCACCCGTATAGGTATATAATACACGTAACAACGTAGGTACATAGAAAAAAGAAAAAAATAACAAGTGGAGAGTTATCGGTACGCTGACCTGGCCGCCGCCGTCTTTTGTCCGTTGTGCGAAGCTGATGGGCTAGGTTCGCGCCCACAGTGCCGATTTATATAGTTAAAAGTTCTGCCGAGGATTACGGTTTAGGTTAGAAGTAGTACAGTGAGGAGGATCGGGAACGAGCCGTCTCGAAAGGACTTGTGTGCAGTGCCCTGGAATTACATAGGAGTAAAAACTATCAACAGCAAGGAAAACGAACAATAACATTTAATAGGATGAAGGGGAACGGTTGCTGGCGCCTTCTGGGACGGGCGCTCGCGCTGCTCCTGTTGCTGCAGATCGTTGCCTCAGGTGAGTCTCGCGCTCCGTCGCGATTTTTACACCTGCGATGCACACGTATACTTACTCCATAAAGCGAGATCGGCCTTGCGATCCTCAATTATTACCGCGTGTGGGAGAGGATTGTTTATAGATCGTACACCTAGTTACGTGCAATGTAATCCACGTTACATAGTTGAAAGGAGGACTCTTTGTTCTGCTCCGATCGGTAACGGCCTCCTTTTTTCTTCTCTCCGATGCTCGTTGGGCTTTGTACCGCGAGCGAGAGGGAAAGAGGTGATTCGCGAGGCGTCCGAGGACTGATAAGATAGCGTGTTTTATTAGCTGTCATTCGATCGTCGCTCACCTTGTATCCAAAGGCCCCTTTCGAAAGATCTATATGTACACTGTCAATCAAATGTGTTATTACGGCACACGCTACCTGCATACATATACATGTAATGTGCTTTTATATTGTGCGTTAATAAAAGTCGCATACTTGAGTACCTCGATGTCGCTGAAAAATTTTTCCTGCAACTCTTTTTCCACTCGCAGACTTGACGCGCTCGTGTAATTGTATGGATTAAATTTGTGCGCAGTGATTCACTCGCGACCGGCGCAAGATACCTTTTTAACCGAGTTGTAACGTCACGAGCCCACAATTTGTATAGTTATTTACGTTGTGACAGGTAAAAAAAGTCTCTTATCACAAGATGAAATTGCGCAAATCTCTTACTCCGTATCTGTGCGTATGTAACGTGACTGCGATAACAAAAAGACTGCGTACCTGTATTCGGAGTAGTTACCCTTTTTTTTTTTTTTTTAAGTGTAGAAAAAAAAATTTCCCGCGAAAAAAGATAGGTAGATATTTTGAAAGCGAGAATTGGCCAAAGACCTCAGCTAAAGGTAAAAAAAAAAAAACTCGAGTCGTTTTTATTGTGCGTGTATAATGTGTTGGGAATATCGGTATAATGTTGTGGACCGGCATCACCGCCGGCACAAGACAAACCGTCGTTTCCGGCGAATACCTGATGTGTATATACGTATTTGTGCTCCTTCGCGTGACCACCACAGGGCCGTTTTCTCTTTCACTCCTTCCATAACGCGCCCACTAAACATATATACCACTATGTACGTGTGTACCCATCTAAATGTATAATACAACAGAATGTATATATACAGGTTCCATCTCCTGTGTGTGTTGTTCCGTCGTGCACCTGTGACGCCGGCAAAGGTAAGCATAGTCCGTTTGTTTCCTCCGAGGGGGAGGAATTTAATTAGTTTCCACAGAGAGGGAGCTAAAGAGGTAGTAGCCTGGTATACCCATACACTCCCTGATGGTTATAATGTAGTCTATACGCGAAGAACAGGTGCTACAAACGGGAAGATGCTGCTTGGGAGGCAGTTGTAATCTTTGATGCCTTTTGCCAAAACAATCGCTCTCGTAGATGTATACTATACCTTCGTCTGGAATAAATAAATAAAATATTTTTCACCCACTCCCTTGCACACTATCGATCGAAGTCAATGGTTAAAGCTATGTAACATTGTTTTTTCGTTATCTGTGCTTTTCTTTATTATTTCGTGCAGCTCATGGAATACGACTACGATGACATTTAATTGCAAATAGCGAACGTGAATTGCACTTTTTGAACCTTGAGCAATCAAATTCTTTTAATCAATGACCCAAGGCGTATCGAGTTTTTTTCCCTAAAACATCCGAAAAAAATTTCCTCGCTCGAGAAAACATTTGTTTCAGAGCCGCGAAATCGTAAAATCGCATAAACAAGCGGGCACCCACTCGTCCTGCACTTTGTCCGTGAACGCACTTAACTGCATCTGTTTTATTTTCCACTTTTAAGTATTTTTCCGGCAACACGAATATGGCACTTTCCACGGGTCACGTTGCAATACGTGAGTATACAGCGAGAGCATCGTCGAAAGGAGCTTGGCCCAGTTGCAATGTAAAATTCCTTGGTCCCTTTTTTTTTTTTCTCCCGGCGCTGTGCTTCCATACGCAAGTATACATTTCCTTACGACTTTGAAGTGCACGCCCATACCCCACTTGGGGTAAAAAAGAGCGCTCTGGTGGAACCAGCAAAGATTTTTTTTTCCCCCATTAGCTGCGGTGCCTTGAGATTTTTTATATCTGGCCCTCTGTGTAACGCGCGCGAGCGAAAACTGCAGTTTCCACGCATATACTTACACTCTGTTGGGTATTTTTTCTTTCGACTCAACGACACTCAATAAAAGTCTAGTATTCCCCGAAAGCCACGTACGAACGACGACAATCAAACATAAAGCACACACGAACGAAATCGTTTTGGGGGGGAAGCTTCAACTTTGGTGCTCTCAAACCCACACCTGCCGAACCCGACCTTTTTTTTTTAATGGCCCCTCTCCCCCTCCAAAACTCATTTTCTACGTGCCCCTCCTACACGCGCGAGAGCAGAGAGCCGTAAACTGTTGCCCGCAAACAACGGACGGTCTGTCCCGGTGCGTATATATACACATTTGGGCTCCGATAGAGCGGAGAGGAGACTCGTTTCTCTCTCCTTCGGACTTTGGCTCTAAAACTTTTACGGCGTCACTCTTTTTTTCCCCTCTCTCCAAAGTCACCAAGACGATCTTTTTTTTCTCAACCTTTCCAACACGAGCTCTCGCACCTCTTTATCTCTCTTTAACGTATCCAGCAACCAACTCGTATACCTATATGTATATTTTTTGACGACGCTCGTGTCGATACGTAGTTGGTTCCTCGAGTTGCTGGCTATTTAAATGACAATAATGACGCAAAGATTCCTCGAGCGCTGTATTGCAGAGATGCGCCGTGTATCACCCAAGGGCACCATAATACAGTGCGGGGGATCGGTGGTGGTGAAGATGCAGGAAGCGATGGAAGGGAAAACGAGCGTGAGAGCCGTGCGAACTAGCCGCGGAGGCGGGGTATACGTGTACAGGTACCCCGAGAGAATAAGGGAGGAAGAGAGATGATGATGCGCGATCGGCGCGCTCGGCGATGTTACGGCCGTGAGAGCGAAAGGGTTTATTTTTTTTTTTTTTTTTTTTGCCACAGCCGCAATGAGAGCCTACCTGTGCAGTATATAGGGGTACACGTAGATGGGTACAATATTGTAGCCCTTGGACGCGTTTGCCGTGGAGAACCGGGGAAATGTGAGTCACGAGTTATTCGGAGAAGCGAGTCCTGGAGCAGCTCTCTCTCCCATTCGAGTGGGAAAAGTGCAGTTTATTGCCGCCAAGAAGTGCCCCGAGTACCCATACCAGATAGTACCGCATTTTTCTTCTCCTTAACTCTTTCTCGCCATCTCTTTGTACACGTATATATAAATTTCCTCCCTTCCGCCCTCGCTGTACGAAGACGACGACTCTTGTTTTGAAGTGACTCGAATGTACTTACGGGGAAAAGCATTTCAAACAACAAAACACGCTCTTTTACGCGCCTATAGGTATCATTATTATTATTATCATTATTGTTATACCCACTTCCATTCTATTCTCTCCTGCTCTTCTCGGCTTTGTGCGCCGCGTCGTCTCCTCTTCAAAAACGCTTCGAGTGCTTTTTTTTTTTTTTATTCCCTCCCTCTCTCTCGAGCCTCCAAATATGCGTAATCATTAATAATAAAACCTGCGCTGCCACAGCCGCTCGCTCGGAGATGGTACATACTCGCGCTTTTGTACGTATATGTATATATCTTACCACGATCATTTTTCATCGACCTGTTTGTGCTTTTTACACGATATGTATATACTCACACGGAGACAAAGAGGACCGCACCTGAATCAACAAAGAAATTCAACACGCGCACGTGCTAGTTTTTTTTCTTTTTTTTTTTTTGACGTCTCTTTCGCTTTTGTCGTGCACTATAATGTATGCCATTTTCGTCGATTGTCGTATACGTGAAATTTTTTCAAGACAATCATACCCAAGTACTCTGTGGGTTTTTTTTTTTTTTTATTTTCAGCTCGGCCTTCGCGGCGATCTCATTTATAGATCAAACAGACTCCCGCGCTTTTTAGCCTTTCCATCTGGCCCAATTCTTCACGATCGACGAACGGCAGGGCGAATTTTTGTTTCCACGCGTTCCGGGCGACTATTCAAAGTACTATGTGGTCGCGCACACCGTGAAAACTAATCGCATCAGTCGAAGGAGGGGGGTAAAGTATAAGATCTCGTTCCAAGTTCCGAGCACTTGGCCAATTCGAGAAACTTCCGGGCTTGAAAAACAAACGAGAGGAAAAAAAAGAGATCGCGCTCGGCGGGAATTGCGGCTCGTTTGAAAGGAGCGCACGGCCGGGGGGGTGGGGGTGGAAGTAAAACAATGGGTGGGGGGAGGGTTCCACGTTGGCGTGGTCGTCGATTCGCGTCACGTGCCGCGGTGCGGGAAAAGCCGTCCGCGAATCAACTCCTGGAGAAGCAACTAAAAGAATAAGTACCCATTGTCCGGGAGTTTCGTCCCGTTGTCGTTGTTGTTTCTGGCCGGTTTGGCTGACGCGCACACAGCTACGTATTCCGGGAAAAAGCGACTCTCCGCGCTGTGCATGTAGGTATATATACACACAGAAGTGAGGGGGAGGAAATGAAATTTGCCGGGGAGAGAACTTACGCTCGAATTATCATACGAATTATGCAAATATCCTGATTCGCGTCACGAACGAGCGTGTGTAGGCGGCGGTGGAAAAGTTTTTCGCCCCCCCCCCCCTCCGATGTGTACCATCTGCACATTTGGAGAGCATCAGTGGAAGGATTCAACACTTTATTTTTTTTTATCAAAGTTATTTTCTTACGAAAGATATTCTGTTTCTGCATTTTTCATACATAAAAAAAGGTCCATCGTTCTAATTGGTAATTACGCTGATGGCACAGGGAGGGTGGTTTTGAGCAAAGGTATATGACACTATCACGTGCCCTAAAAGGCTGTACTCGATAAAATTTTTTCGTAGAGCAAAATGTCAGGGTTGGATACGTAATTAAATGCGTAACACCCATGACTTCTCGTAGCAAAACGACATTT